TTTTTTTTTTTTTTTTTTTTTGAGACCGTGTCTTGTTCTGTCGCCCTGACTGCAGTGCAGTGGTGTGATCTCAGCTCACTGCAACCTCCACCTCCCACGTTCACGTGATTCTCGTGCCTCAGCCTCCCAAGTAGCTGGGATTATAGGTGCCCGCCACCATGCCTGGCTAATTTTTGTATTTTTAAGTAGGGATGGGGTTTTACCATGTTGGTCAGGCTGGTCTTGAACTCCTGACCTCAGGTGATCTACCCGCCTTGGCCTCCTAAAGTGCTGGGATTACAGGTGTGAGCCACTGCGCCCGGCCTTAGTAGCTCTTTCTAAGGATTTGATATAATTTATTTACCTGATCTCTGATTTCAGGTCAGTTAACTTTCCCCCTTCAATTTGTTGCTATTATTAGTTCTACAAAGAGTATTGTTGTATATATACCTTTATTTACTCAATGATTATTTCTTTAGAATGAAATTTCTAGAAGTGGAATTGTTGGATAAACATAATATTTTTCTCAGTTCTTCTCTGGAATGGTTGTATCTGGGTACCTGTTCAGTGTTCAGCCAGTCACAAATTTGGTCTCCAATTTAGTATAGATAATATTGTTTATTGAATACTATTCTCTTTTTTTTTTTTTGAGACGGAGTCTTGCTCTGTTGCCTGGGTTGGAGTGTAGTGGCCGGATCTCAGCTCACTGAAAGCTCCACCTCCCGGGTTTACGCCATTCTTCTGCCTCAGCCCCTCCCGAGTAGCTGGGACTATAGGCGCTGCCACCCTCGCCTGGCTAGTTTTTTGTTTTTTTAGTACGAGCAGGTTTCACCGGTGTAGCCCCAGGATGGTCTCGATCTCCTGACCTCGTGATCCGCCCGTCTCGGCCTCCCAAAGTGCTGGGATTACAGGCTTGAGCCACCGCACCTGGCCTATTGAGTACTATCTATAGCACAGTCTCTGCTAACACTTTATAAACATTGTTCCATTTAATTCTCACCCACCCTGATAGTTAGTAGTATATGCAATTTTTAGAGAGGAGAGCACTGAGGGTAATAATAACTTTTCTCAAGTCAGCTAACTAGGTAAGGCTGCTCAAACCTAGGTTTTCCTCCCTTCAAAGTCTGTGTGCTCATTCATGAAGTAGCTGTTATGGAAAAATTAACTTGCCTGGACTGTTTGAAGAAATTAAGTTCATATCAGAAACTTTTTGTTTGTTTGTTTTGTTTTGTTTGTGACAGGGTCTGGCTCTGTTACCCAGGCTGGAGTTGTGTGGGTGTGATCGTGACTCACTGCTTCCTCAATTTCCCAATCCCTTGTCTCAGGCCTCCCAATAACTGGGACTCCCGGCTAGTTTTTGTATTTGTTTTTTGTAGGGACAGGTTTCACCACGTTGCCCAGACTGCTCTCAAACTCCCAGGCTTAAGCAATCTGCCTGTCTCCGCCGCCCAAAGTGCTGGGATTACAGGTGTGAGCCACTTGTGCCCAGCCTAGAAACATTATTTACTGTCTCCTGAAATTCAGTCACAGGATTTTAAAAAATTTTATTGATTAAAACAGTTTTAAAAAATTTAAACTTTTTTGATATAGGATCTCTCCTCTGTAGCTCAGGCTGGAGTGCCAGTGGGGGCTAATCATAGCTGACCACAGCCTCAACCTCCCTGGGGCTTCAAGTGATCCTCCCCGAGTAGCTGGGACTACAGGCAATAGTTGTTTTGCCATTGTGCCTGGCTAATTTTTTAGCTTTTTAAGAGATGGGGTCTTGCTGTGTTGCCCAGGCTGTTCTGAAACTCCTGAGCTCAAGTGATCCTCCTGCTTTAGCCTCCTGAGTCTCTGGGATTACATGCATGAGCGATGAGCCACCACAGCTGGCTCTGATTTTAATTTTTTAAATTGACAGATAACATTGTGTGTGTTTATCATATATAAAATGATGTTTTGAGGTATATATACATTGTAAAATGGTTAAATCTAGCTAGTTAACAAATGCATTACCTCATATAGTCATCATTTTTGTGGTGATAACATATAACATGTACTCTACATTTTTTTTTTTAAGAATGCAATATATCATCATTAACTGTTGTCACCTTGTTGTATGCTATATCTCTTGTAATTTATTTCTCCTATCTAACTGTAGTTACATATTTTTTGACCAACATCTCCCTGTCCTTCCCATCCCTGAACAGCCTCAGACCCTGGTAGCCACCATTCTACAGTCTGCCTCTATGAGGTCAACTTTTTAAGATCCTGTGTATAAGTGAGACCATGTGATATTTGTCTTTCTGTGCCTGGCTTATTTTAATTAACATAACCCTCCAGGTTCATCCATGTTGTGGGCAGATGGCAGAATTTCCTTTTTCTTTAAATGGCTGAATAGTATTCCAGTGTTTATAAAGCCACATTTGCTTTATCTGTTCATCTGTTAATGGACACTTAGGTTGATTCCAGATCTTGATTATTGTGAATAGTGCTACGGTAAAAATGGGAGTGCAGATAGCTCTTCAACAAACTGATTTCATTTCCTTTGGATATATGCCCAGTAGTGGGATTGTTGGATCATATGGTAGTTCTATTTTTAATTGTTTGAGGAGCCTCTATACTGTTTTCCATGATGGCTCGACTGATTTGCATTCCCACCTATAGTGTATAAAGGTTCTCTTTTTGTCACATCATCACCAACACTTACTATCTTTTGCTTTTTTGATAAATGCCATTCTCAGTGGGGTGAGGTGATTGATATTGTGGGTTTGATTTGCATTTCCCCGATGGTTAGTGATGTTGAACATTTTTTCATATACTTGTTGGCCATTTGTATGTCTTCTTTTGAGAAATGTCCATTCAGGTCTCTTGCTCATTTTTCACTTGGGTTATTTGTTTTTTTATTGCTGTTTTGAGTTCTTTATATATTTCAATTATTAATCTTTTGTCAGGTAGATAGTTTGCAAATAGTTTCTCCCATTCTATAGATTGTCTCTTCACTTTGTTGTTTGTTTTCTTTGCTGTGCAGAAGATTTTTAGTTTGATGTAGTCCCAGTTATCTGTTTTATTATCTGTGCTCTTGAGGTCTTGTCCAAAAAAAATCCTTGCCCAGACCAAAGTCATAAAGCATTTTCCCATTTTCTTCTAATAGTTTCACAGTTTCAGGTCTTACATTGAAGTCTTTAATCCATTTTGAGTTAATTTTTGTGTATGGTTGAGAGATAAGCATTCATTTTCATTCTTCTGCATGTGGATATCCAGTTTCCCCAGTAACATTTACACTTTACCCATTGTGTAAAATCAGTTGAGTGTAAATACATGGATTCATTTCTGGCTGTTTTTTCCACTGGGGTATATGTCTGTTTTTATACCAGTACTGTGCTGTTTTGATTACTGTAGCTTTGTAGTGTACTCTGAAGTCAGGTAGTGTGATCCTTCCAGCTTTGTTCTTTTTGCTTAAGATTCCCTTGACTATTTATAGGGGTCTCTTGTGGTTCCATGTGAACTTAGGATTATTTTTTCTATTTCTGTGAAGGATGCCATTGGTATTTTGATAAGGACTGTACTGATTCTGTACATCACTTGGGTAGTAAGTCACAAAGATTTTGATGTTTTAATTTGGAGAAATTTTATCTAGCACTTATATTTGTATAGCTAGGAGAGTTGTACTTTCATCTGAAATACATTAAGGATAGTGAGATGCCATTAGTGTATTTATGGAATTAGGTTTATGTTAGAATTCTTTAGGTATAACGTTTGACCATTTTTCAAACCCACAATAACTATTTTAGTGGAGTAAAATGTTAATTTAACAAATATTTCTCTAATGCCTATTCTGATAGTCAGCGGCCTGCTTAGGTGCAAATCCTGTCTGTGTCTCTTAGAAGCTGTGTGACCTTGATAGATTGTTAAGGTTCTGTTTCTGTAAAATGCAGATAATAGTACCTGTCTCATAAGTTGTTGTGAGGATTAAATAAAGTAGTGTGCAAAAGGAAACACTTAGCAGAGTGTTCAATAAATGTAAACTTTTAGTTATTGATATCTGAGCCTCTCACTGCAGAAACAGTGAAAGGTGGGTGTTATTTGACGTTAAGGAATCTACAGTTTGGTAGACTGATCTTAAACAATTGTAATTCATCCTGAAAAATGCCTTAATGCAGGTATAAAAGGGCCAGTGGAAGCATCAAACACATGTGCAGAACTGCAGGTTGTCAAGGAAGCCTTCAAGGGAGGAGATGGTGTTGATGTCAAGACCTGATGGATGAAAATAGCTCATGGGAGAGCTCAAGAGTGTGACCAGGAGTTAGGAATTTCAATGGAAAATGGAATCTTTGTGATGCCCTCCACATGTCATTAGATGTTAAATTCTAGAGTGAAGTTTGATATGATTATTAACTACTAAGTATATTCCCAAATATTTAAGGTTAAGATCTTACTAAAATAATGAATTATAAAGCCATTAATATTTGGAATTTTTATGTAATCGTTATTTGATTATGGTACTTTTTTTTGGCTACAGATATTAACCAGTAACATTCTAATTTATCATTTTAATGGGAAGTCGTGGCTTTTTTTCTCCCTGTAACAATACTAAAAATACATTTTAAGGCTATGTGATGTAGAGTTTTATTAGAGACATTATTTTTCTGTTTACTCTCCTTTTCTGTATTGTACATAATTTTGTCCCTTTCTATATTGTATTTTAAATTTGGAACCTACTGATGTATAGGCATTTCACTTACTATCTTGAGGGATTTTTCCAGATAAAACAGAAATTTAGTAATGTAGCTTCTGTCAGTATAAAAGCAGAGCAGCTCATTTCCTTTGTACCATTCTGAAAATCATACCAGAATAGAATAGCTTGTTTCTGTATTATTTTATGTACTCATTGACATTGTCTTTTTTGTGAGCATCCTTCACCCCACATGGAACCCTAACAATGAAAATTTACTTGTGTGTATATAGGGATATTATCCCTTTTGATCATTTAAATAGATATGGATGGTGATAGAAATCTGTGTGTATGTGTTTTTTTTAAGGTATTGCCATCAGAGAGTCGGCAAAGGTAGTTGACCAAGCCCAAAGGAGAGTGTTGAGGGGAGTTGATGACCTTGACTTTTTCATAGGAGATGAAGCCATCGATAAACCTACGTATGCTACAAAGGTAAATGTCCGACGGGTGTTTGCTTCTCTAAGTGTAGAGCAGTAGGATGAGTAATGCAAAATGGTCATCTAGAAGTTGTATTTGTGAGTTGTGGAATGTGTTTCTATTATGTTTGAATAGAGGTGGTGGTGGTGGTTGGTTTTTGAATGGGGTTGTTTTTGATTGGAGAATTAAGGGAATTAACAGATCCCTGGAATGCAGAATAGACTCAGGAAACACCAGGTCACACATGAAAGCAAGATCCCCCCCTCTGGAAAATTGTTGACAGGTTGACTAACCTGTCAGTTGAGGGAAAATTGCAGATTGGTTAATTAAAAAGAAACACTAATATTATTTAAGCAGACTTTTTTTTTTTTTTTGAGACGGTGTCTTGCTGTGTTGCCCAGGCTGGAGTGCAGTGGCCGGATCTCAGCTCACTGCAAGCTCCGCCTCCCGGGTTTACGCCATTCTCCTGCCTCAGCCTCCCAAGTAGCTGGGACTACAGGCGCCGCCACCTCGCCCAGCTAGTTTTTTGTATTTTTTTTAGTAGAGATGGGGTTTCACTGTGTTAGCCAGGATGGTCTCGATCTCCTGACCTCGTGATCCACCCGTCTCAACCTCCCAAAGTGCTGGGATTACAGGCTTGAGCCACCGCGCCCAGCCTAAGCAGACTTTTTTTTTTTAAAGCTCCAGATCCAGTTGTATGATAATTAGCTGCAGTATTCTATCTGTTCCTCATTGTTTTTTTTTTTTGTTGTTGTTGTTTTAGAGATAGGTCTTACTCTGTCACCCAGACTGGAGTGCTCTGATGCCATTTTGGCTCACTGCAGCGTCGACCTCCTGAGCTCAAGCAATCCTTTCTCCTCAACTTCTCAAGTAGATGGGACTACAGGCACGCATCACCATGCCTAGCTGATTTTTTAAATTTTTTGTAGAGACTGTCTTGCTATGTTGCCCAGGCTGGTCTCGAACTCCTGGGCTCGAGTGAGCCTCCTGCCTTGGCCTCCCGAAGTGTTGGATTAGAGGCGTGAGCCACTGTGCCTGGCCTGTCTCCCTGTCATTGTTAAGGTGATTCTTTGTTTGTAGAAATGAGTGGAGGAGAATATGAACAATAATATAACTTAATCTTTTTTTTTTCAAATGCTGTTGTTTCTTTACAAGAATTAAAAACTGCAATGAGAAGGAGACCTTTATTCTGTAATAACACAGTTTCTTCTGTGCCACTGTTAAACTGCTGCTCTTATTGTCATGAACTGAGGCTTGACAACTTTGGTTTCTCTTCCTCCAGTGGCCAATACGACATGGAATCATTGAAGACTGGGATCTTATGGAAAGGTTCATGGAGCAAGTGGTTTTTAAATATCTTCGAGCTGAACCTGAGGACCATTATTTTTTAATGGTGAGTAACTGGAACTAAGAGGAATATATTCCTGTAAGTTCCAAATTGCTTAGATTTTAAACTGAAGATATTCTTTTCTAGGGCGTTTTAAATTTCTTCTAAAGATATGTGCATGAATCAGGCTGCTTTTTGAAAATACTGGAAAGCTCAATAAAAATGTTCAGAACAAAAGGGGCTTGTTAGCTCACCAAACAGGAAGCCCAAGTGAGGCAGCTCTGGGGCGTTGTTTTAGCAGCTCAGTGATGGAATTGCACATGCAACCTAGGGCACAGCTTGAGCTCTTCTGTTTGTTCCCTTTGGGTCCCAGGGTGGCTGCCAAATTCCCAGATCACCTCTTTGGACATTTCCATACAGAGATAGAAGATTTTCCTTTCACTTTTTAAGAATTTAGAGACCCTTTCCCAGAAACCTTCCCAGCAGATTTGCCCCATCTGCCTATGCCTAACCTGGTTAGAGCAGTAGGAATGGATTTACTGTGACTGATTTAGATTCATGAAGACTTTCTCCTTGGGGCGGGGACCAGGAGCACCTGTCTGATGTTCTGGACCCTGGAGGAGGGTAAGTAACTAAACAGGCCTCCAAAAGCAAGGACAATAGAAGGAGGAATGGATTTGGATAAACCAACTACCTGCTTTAGTTTTCCTGAGACATAGCAAGATGATTGTAATTATTGCCACTTATAGCAGAGGAAACCAGGTCAAGATGTTATTTTTTTCTAGGGTTCAAATGTTACTGTAAAATATAACTGAACTGAGTTATGGGCCCTAATTATGATACTTAATTGATTTCATTCAAATGAAATGAAACATCACAGATAAATGAGAAGAAATATCTCCTGGTTCTCTAGTGGTTCTACTCAGCATTACATGTTTTCTTCTGTGAGATGCTCTTTTCAAGTTAAAATTAATTGCATGTACAGAATGCTTGCTTTATAGAGGGCAGTTTCATGTGACGTCAGCTGCGTATTAAATCTACATAATTTAGGTTTGGATTTTTTTTCATGCAAGTGCATTGTCAAATGGTCCCAGATCCAATTATAAAATTGTTTCTAACATTAGAATATGAAGTGTTTTTAAGAATTATCTGGTATAAGAAATATTTTAACTATAAGGCTAATAGTGGAATAACTATTAAATATGGAATAACTCTATAACGAATATATATATTTAATGTATATTAAAGCTGGTCTTTGATCTTTTCTCCCTGGCTGTGTCTTCACAACTGAAATTGCCAAGTATGGCTGCTGTGTTTCACAGGCCACTCTGTTTTCTCTGTACATCCACAGTAGTTTTATTTTATTTTGCTGTTTTGCTTTGTATTTTATTTTTCTAGAAATGGGATCTTGCTCTGTTGTCCAGGCTGGAGTTCTGTGGCACAATCCTATCCAGTCACTGCAGCCTCAGACCCTGGGCTCAGTTGATCCTCCCGCTTCAACCTGCTGAGTAGCTGGGACCACAGGTAGAAACCACTAGCCTGGCTAATTTTTAAACATTTTTTGTGGAGACGGGGTCTCGCTATGTTGTCCAGGCTGGCCTCAAACTCCCAGGCTTAAGTGATTCTCCCACCTTAGCCTCACAAAGTGTTGGGATTATAGGCATGAGCCACCATGCCCGGCCCACAGTGGTTTATGTGGAACAAATGGAGCCAATAAACTGACTGTGTGTGAGTGGCTTTGTCTTTACAGCCAAAACAAATCACAGATTCCCACCTGTCAGATTTGGCATTTTTCCTTCTCTAGCATATCACATCAACTACCTGTTGGATAGGATTTTAGGAGCAGGCACGGAGCCCAGCTGCTTCCTTCTGTCTACTTCAGCTTCCCGTGCCAGGAGTTCTTGCTTTACTTAGAGGGACATCTAATCTCAGGCATGTGGAGCAAATACGGACCACCACACAGCTCACAAGAATTTTTATTAAAAGGGATTCTTTTTGTGATTTAGCTGGCATATATGAGATAGTAAAACATAACCACTTGCCAGGATGGAATTGGAGAGGTTTGGTGTGAACATAGAAAAGGCCATTTGCTAAAAATGGGTACCTGCAATGAATGTTCAAAAACAATCAAGTTTATTATTAAAAAGATAAGAAAATACTGTATTACATGTGTTGTGCTTTGAATTCTGCAAGTCATTTTGTTGCATGTCGTGGTTGAGGAAGTGGTGAGAATGGTAAATTTCCTTCAGGTATGTGTCCTTAACCGTGTGTTGATGGAATAAAGGGGAGTGAACCAGGTGGAAAGATTTAAGGCCAAGCCATCAAAGTGAATTGAAGACATTAAGAGAGTCTAAGAGGCCCAAATGATGGACCCCCAGGAGCTCACAGAATTATCCTTTCTAACAGCCTTGCCCAGTCATCTGAACATGCAGAGAGAATGACCTCCTTGCCACTGGCTGTTTTCAAGGAGGTGCAGAGACAGCTTACACTGGTTATGCGGACTGAGCACACGGCACCTGGGAACTCCGCTCTTCCCCAATACTGCATTGCCCAAAGCTCAGAACGCACTCAGAGATGTCAAAGAGATGCAGTGCTCCTGAGTGGAAATTGGATTAGAACTTCAAAAGGGATTTTCAAACTTTTTGAATATAAATCCTGCAAGAGCAAACAAGCAGCACATGCAGATGACCAGCAGTGAGAGGGCGTGGTGACTCTGAAGACCTGACTGGGTTAGGGTGATTAGAGCGGGGGAGTGTGGAGAAAGGAGGTCAGGCAGCCTTTGTGCGGTGTAGACAGTGAGCCGTGAGGCCGGTTTTGTGTTTTAGGGAGACTTTATGGGCAGGCACCTCCGGCACACAGAGTCTAGAAGATGACCCCATGTGAGGTAACAGGTGCCTGTGAGGAGGGCGTACGGTGAGAATGGCAGGAGTGGGTGGAGGGGAGTTCTGTCATTTGCGAGGTTCTTAAAATTATGTAAGGGGATATGTATAGTCGAAACCACCCATGAAAATCCCTCAGGAAGGGCCCGTTTATACAGCTCTGAGTCAGTGGAGAGAAAATGGATTTTCCCTCAGCATAGAGGAACTTTCTTCTGCACCAGCTGGGGTGGTTGACTTACATTTAGGAGGACAGTGTGGTGTGTGGAAGCACATATGGTTCATTAGGTTGCCCTCAGTCCAGCACTTTGCTCCCAGTCCCAGTACGTTGAAGCTGAGACCACCTGAGAGCAGTTGGACTCCCAGAGCCAGTACTCATTAAGGAGCCCGGGGCAGACATCGTATTACTCATGTAGTTATTTCACCTGCTCTCATATTTGGCCTCATTGTTCTGGCTTGTACCCTCACTAGCTTTTGTATGCTGTTGTGTTTTTGGAGCATGTACAGTTGGTTGGGGTAAGTTATATATAGTTAGCAGAGATAAACAGGAGGTAGACTTGGTGGGTCTTAGTGATGAGAATTGGTAGCAGTTAAGAGAAATCTAGGCTGACTCAGATTTTGAGATGGGGCAGTGCATGGATGATAATGTGATTGGTTAAGATGGGAAACATGAGAAGAAACTCACTTGAGGGAGGGAGGAGGAAGAAGGAGAGTTTGGTTTTGTACATGCTGAGGTCTAAGGGTCTAACTGGGCTGCACAGGTAAAGAAGCCGAGGAACAGCCCGCCCCAAGCTGCAGGTGTTGATGTAGGAGTCAGTAGCGTTCACGTGTTGATTGTTGATGGAAAATTAACTCTGATTACTAAAGATAAAACATACCATCCTTGGTATTTTAGAGATGAATGTACGAATATATGATTATTTTGAGATCTCTAGGTAAAGTTAGTGCTCTGTGAAATCATTTTCTTCATGAACCTGGTGAAATTAAAAAATGTTAGCCATGGCAGTACCCTACATCTGAATCACAATTGCGTTATGTCCTGACTTACTCTAGTTTCCTTTCTGAATTCTTGAGAATGGTTAGACCTGCCTTGTGCACTTCACTAACCAGTGTAGACCTAGCCAGTGTAGACCTAGCCAGTGTAGAGGTCAGCTTTCTTGGATTTGCTAAGCCACCTCCTGCACGTACTTTCCAGCTTCCAGTATATGGTCGCCTCCTCTCCTATTCTCTCTTCCTTGAGGATTTGTATTTTAAAAAATGTTTCTTTACTGTAGTTTTAGAGGGGCATGAAGGTGGAGTAATATTAGATACATGTGTTCAATTTTCTGTCTTTATCCAGAAATATGGGTAGGTTTTATGATAGTCATTATTCATTTTTAAATCAATACCAGGTGATAATTTTACCATTGTTATGTATAAAAATGTTTATGTAGCTTGCATTCATTGATGCTTTGATCATATGCTTCTATATTTAAAAAAACCAGATTATTCTCTTTCTCTTCTTCTCACTGTTGCACTTGACTAGTCTTAAAGAGAGGAAATCCTCCAGAAAAACTGGACATCTCCTATTTAGATCTTGTTATAAATAATAGTTTGAGAAAATTTTAATTACATTTGTCTCCTAAAGGAATAATTACAACATCAATAATGGTGGATAGAGATGAAATGGGAGATTAAGGAAGATGGAGGGTTTGTGATTGTGGTCCTCAGAATCTATAAGGACATGGCCTGAATAATGTCGATTTTGACTCAAGAACCAGGAGAACGTCATTATATTGTAAATGTTCCCTTAAATGGAAGTACATAGATTTTAATTCTTCAAAGATGGTGAACTGTTTTTGGCAGCAAGTAATAGAAGTATAAAAGCAGTAGTTTAAAAAAGTTGAAGTTTTATTTTTCTTAAATAAATTTGTAGCAGAGTCCAGTGCTGATACGGCAGCTCTCTGGTGTTGCTAAGGATCTCTCTACTCTAGTGTCTCGAATATATGGCTTTCATTCTAAGGATGCCTCATGATCACAAGTTGATTACTGCAGCTCCAACTGTCGCCTCTGTGTTGCACGAAGGAAGAGGGTGTTAAGGGCAGGAGGCAAGTCTACTCAGCTTTGTAAGGAGCTTTCTTGGCAACCATATTCCAGCTTTTGTGTCTTACTGGCCAGAACTTACTCACTTAGTCATCCCTGTCCACAAGG